CAAGGACAAGGAGCTGCTGGAGAGGGTCCAGCACAGGGCCACTGGGATGGTGAAGGGCCTGGAGCACCTTCCACATGAGGAAAGGCTGGGAGAGCTGGTCTGTTCAGCTGGAGAAGAGGAGGCTGAGGGGGATCTTATCAATGCTTATCAATATCTAAAAGGGGGTGTCAGGACGATGGGGCCAGGCTCTTCTCAGTGGTGCCCAGTGACAGATCGAGGGGCAGTGGCCATAAACTGGGAAACAGGAGGTTCAGCGTGACCATGAGGAAACCCTTCTTCCCTGTGAGGGTGACAGAGCCCTGAACAGGCTGCCCAGAGAGGGGGTGGAGTCTCCTTCCCTGGAGACTTCCCAAAGCCCCTGGACTTGTTCCTGTGGGATCTGCTCTAGGGGATCCTGCTCTGGCAGAGGGGTTGGACTAGATGGGCTCTAGAGGTCCCTTCCAACCCCGACCACTCTGTGAACCTGTGAAAGGTGCACATTTGTGTGTTATGGTGATGAATTCTTAAAATCACAGTGCTTGAGCGAGAAAACCTCCGTGGTAGTATATAAATAACAGATGTAATTGTCATCTTTTGATGTGCTGTTAGTTCAGTGTTGGCCTACGAGGAATTTTTTCTGCAAACATTGAAGCCTGGCACGCTGTTGATGTAACCCACAGAGAGGTTGTTTCCACTGCAGCAGGGGTAAACGTGCTGTATGTCTGTTACTGTAACGAGCACTGCTCGTTAGCACTCACACCCATAAATCTGCCTGTAAAAGAGCAAGCAGCCCTTAACAGCGACTTGACTGAAATGCAAAACCTTGAATGTTGTCCCAAGCTGTGGATTTTGGCTCTTGGGGTAGAGTAGGAGATTTCCGAGCGAGGAAGAGGCCGTGACATTTGAAAACAAACCAGAAACCGATTGCCACGTGATGTAACGGGAGGGAGTGTGCTCTGCAGGCCAGAATAGCGCTGGGGAAGTCCTGATGCAGGGAGCCTGTGCAGGGGGGATCGTGCCTTCCCCACACCAGAGACCCAGGCTTTGCAGGAGCTCTTTCTGCCCTCCTCTTCGTGGAGCACGGAGAGGGCTGGCAGATCCATCGCCTGGTGATTCACCAGCTGAACCTGTTGGGTCTGCAAAGGCACAGCCAAGGGAGCGGGCTGCAGGATCTCCCGGTACCTCGGAAGGTCAGGCAGTCCTTTCTGGCCAGAGGATGTGTTATTCTTCAGACAAGCAAAGCATTTGGGATCCTTAAATATGGAAATGGCTTGTTGGCCTTTGCTCCCTGCAATTTAGGGGGCAAATCACAGGGAAGCAGCATGTGCCCAGCTCATTTACAAAGGGAGAACGAGCTCTTGGGAAAGGTCAATCTTGGAGGTGCTGAGAGCAAAGAACCAACAGCTGCTCCTAGGAAAACGTGGCCAAAAGTCTGGAGGTGACACCTATTGATTTTTTTTTTTTTTCTTTTCTGCTCATCTTAGAAATGAGTTCTGAGGGACCTGATTTTTTAAAATACATATGCATGTGCATGCTCAGGCACACAGGCACGCTTTGCTGGAGATAAAGGGGTAATTGCAGTCTGGAAACTGGATCTGACAGTTGATTTTCAAAGAGCACCCAAATAACAGGAGGCTCCAATCAGTAGCGGTTTGATAAAGCTTTTGCAAAAATCTGCTTGTAAAATTGAGGGCATTTCACCAAATCTTGGAGCTGTCTCCTACGAAAGATTCCATGAGTGTTTGATAAATGAGAAACGATGTAAAGAGGAGCCTTAAACACAGAAGGAATGATTTGGTGAGTATGATTAGAGGGCAGGCTCTAATCAGCCAGATCGAGGGGACCCTGTGACACTGCGTGCTCTGAAGTGGCTGTCA